CTCCAAAAATACATACATTGGCCTTAATGTAGTCGCTATATAGGTACTTTGGGGCTCATGTATCTCTATTATATGGGTACATGGACCCTTAGGGCAAGGCTCAGGGTTCCTCTGCATCTTCCCGTCTTAGAGGCTGCCACCACGTAATGCCGACATCTTTTCCCCAAGAAGTCTCTTACTCCGAGGCCTGTTTGCTCGCCCTGCAGCCAGAAACCGAATCCAACGAATGCAGGACACACTCAAACGAAACATCAGCCTACTACGCCCGACTGCTTGAAACCAATAGCTCAACACGAAATGCCCAGCCCTACGCCCTATGGCTCGGGATTCTCAACGATTTAAGGATAAGAGATTTCGTCGGATTGCAGGCAAGCTGCGGGCGGCTGATAGATGGTGCTTTGACCAGTAGCCTGCGTTTGAGGCGCCACGGCGGAGGTACCTGGCTTGCACTTCTGAGGACCTAGAATTCAGCGAAGACGCTTAACTTCAGGATCGGACGTTCTAAGGTCTCTTCCCGAGCGTCCTCATACGGTTGCAGTCGTGCTGTAGATGAGACCACCAAGTGTGTCTGTGGGGCTCAGAGTCGTGGTCGTCATCGCCCCTAACCGTGCCAAGTTTCGCAAGAAAGCCGCAATGTTCGGGATCTATACCCCAAGGCTCAAAATGGCCCAAAAGCCTTGGATAGTATGGTCTTTGGGCCCAAAGGCCCTTAAATATGAGTCCTCAGAGCCTTATAAGGGATAATTCGGTTGTTCTGCATTCTAGTATTCCTTTAGCACGCCCAAAACCTCTGAGCCGGGCTGCAACTTCAAAGCCCTACTTAGGGCCCCCAAAAAAGCACACAAGCTAAAATACGGATAGGGATATCCCATATAAAACCCCTTATAATGAAGGCCAATAAGGTAGGGATATCCCCATAAAATGCTTATGCTTATGTGCTTTCTGGGCCCCTAAAACCCTATAAACCATAAACCCTAGACCCTAAACCCTTATAGATCCCCAAAGGAACCCTTTAAGGAACCCTTTTTGGGTCCCTACTACTCCCACTGCCAGGCCGAGGGCCTCGCTCCCGGACTACAGTGCAGGAACTGTCTTCGGAATAAGCCGATAATTGAGTCTATATTCTGGGGCTCCAAGTATTACACACAGTGCCTACTTTGGGCTCTAGAGTCTATAAATAGGACCTACTTTGGGCTCTAAAGTCTATAAATCGGACCTACTTGGGCTTCTTTGGAGCCCCAGGGATAAAGCCGAACACGCAACTTCCCACTCCTGCATCCCGCGAGCCCTCACACAAAACTCAAGCCTAAAATCCATGCAGACAAAACCTCAACATTATGGCATCAATGCAGTGAGCAACCCCCTTGGAACGATAAACTAGGCTGGCGCACGAGGCTCCAGCACGAAGACTGGGCCTTGCGAGGTCGCGATAACAGGATTCCGGGTATATGCCCTCCACCCAGAGGCTCCATAGTTCCTTTTTGGAATTACCTTATAGGATTCTATATATGAACCCCAAAAAAGAACTGCTTTGGAGCCTCTGGGCAGTCATAGCGATAAGGCCAGAGCTAAGTGTCTGGATGTGTCGGGTTCATTCTGGTTCGGGAAGCAATCTAGGATGCGCACTAACCTAGGAATAGAAAGGGCTCCCTTCTTTGGTATTGGGTAACTTCGTAAGGAACCTACGGTTGATGATATAATTCCTGCAGTACCCATTGTAAAGAATATACCATTATTCCCATAGCTTAGGGTCCTTAAGGTAATGCAGGATTTATATCATCAACATTCATCAACCGTTGGACTACAAAAAGGGAATAAATGTACTACTGGGCATCCTAGCAAATTGTTTGCAAACAAGGGCGGCTTCGGGAGCCTGGGGAATCTGAGCTTTGAAGTAACCAGGGAGAAAAAAGTATAGACTTTTATGTCATAATGGTTCCCTCAAGAAGCAGGTACCAAAAAAGTATTCAAGTATGGTACTCCAGGACCCAGGAATGTGAATGAAGTCGGTGCAGAGTTCGATTGCATGGCTTCAGCATTCGCAGCACAGCTGCTTTACAAGAAGGCGCGGCATCTACAGCGCTCGCTGCACTTAGGATGCATCGAATCTTAGAACCTGGTGTGTATACTTACCAGTCGGGTCTTCAAAAGACGCCCGACGCGTCTGCTTTGGAGGCCTGTTAGCAGCAGACGCAGAGGCTGAGTGCGAACAGAATCAAAGCAGCCTCCTCAAAATCAAAGGTCGCTAGGGGTGCCCAGGTGCAGTGGGGACAACAACAAAATCAGGGAAGCGTACGCATACATTAAGGTCTTCAGGCCTGCACACGTGCAGCTACGACAGCAGCCATCAAAGCTGTTATAACCACACCTCTCGAAATCTCGGTTTGAACCTGCAAGACCATCTTCTCGAAGGGGGAACCCAGCCCGACCTCCACCCGTAGTTGTAATTCCTTGTTGTCGCGTACCTTACTATGCCTATTTTGCAAGATACTATCATATACTATCCATGAAACTAGTTCATCAGAGCAGCTGCGTTTCAATGTATAGAAAGGGTTTAGCCTCCCATCCCATTGGGCGCTGAGCCTGATGGTGGATGAGGAGACAACGGGGGACCTGATCAGGGCGCCAACCAGCGCAAAGCTTCCCAGGCTTCCCGTGCCCAAGAAAACCAACTTTTTGAGGTTGTAGTGGTATCCCATATGCAAGTATGACTCATAGCAGCAGGTTGGCTTGTGCAGAACTTTGCGGGAGTTGCAGAACATGCATAGCACATGTAGCAGATGCAAAGCGACGAGCCTGAACACATCTATATACAGATCTTGTTTATAAGTGCGGAATACAAAAGCTGGGATTTCAGAAATTGGACTTGGTTTGATGCCCACGATTATCAATTGGGGTAGGTAGGCAGGTGTTCGTGCTCGGGAGGAAGTTTTGGATGTGTCATGGCAAGTCGCTCGGGAGTAGAACGTAAGTTCAAAACCGCCTTGAAACTCGCGAGTGGCTCGGGGGTCTGACGCAGGAGAGACTCAAGAAGCTCAAAAGAAGCTCGGTAGAGGCACAGGAGAGGGTTAACGGAGAGGCTCAGGGCTTGAGTGAGGCTCGGTGACTGGGAGAGAAGCAAGAAAGCTCGGGAGAGGCTGGGGAGAGGTTTGACCCATCTGCTCCAGACAGAAAACTGCTAGGAGATTCCGAAAATCTGAAAGCTCACGCGTGCTGCCACATAGTACACGCAACACGGGTAAATGATCGACAAAGCTGCGCCTGTTCCTGTCGGTGGCGGGAAGACACCAGACAGCTGTCCTGTCCAGCATGTGCAGGCAGAAAGGACAGCGTAACGAAGCAAACAACAGCAGACCAGCTTCTAGCAATGATGTATGCTTCGATGGAAGTCGGTTTGGGGCAGGGACCGGGATAGATCGGGAGGGTCGGTGCTGAATTCTGCAATGCACGTCAAGGCTCGTCGCGGGGACCTTTCCTCTCTATATCTGCATGGAATCAAAAAACCAACAACTTACGGTGCAGTCATAGCAAGAGCAAAAAGGGCAACCTTGTCTTGGCCCACTTGTGCTTGGACACACTCCGTCAGGCCCGGATTAAACTACATCAGGCGAAGAACCGCCATGACCTAACAAAAGGTAAGTGCACCCAGCCGCAGCGGTAGTAGATAGGTGCCGTGCCGTACATTAACCCTCACTGAAGACTATATACCCTCTACACATCGGAGCTGAGTGCATCACACCAAAACCGCATAACCTTTCAAACTTCACTGTCAGCTGGCTGCCTGAACCTGCTGAGGGCGAGAAGGATGGTGCGCCTTGCAAGGGTGAAATGCGCAACACAACAACTATTGCACAAGTTCTAGCACAGAGCCCGAGATTTCAAAAACCACAAAAAAACAAAGCTCGGGACTCTGGAGGACATGACGAATCAAACTACTTATCAGGTCATGTTTTCCTTAAGCCTCGAACCGCCCCTTAATGATCCTCAATGCAGATGACGGACGTGCTGCAGGGCACCTGGACCACACTTCGATTTTGTCGGGAACTGAAGCCCTCACAATGACTTCCCTTCTTGAAACAAAGAAACCCCGTAAGTGCCATTGCACCGATCACCACGCAACACGCCCTGAAACCTAAGAATATATCCTGTAAACTAATTACAGAAAGAAATGACAAGACACAAAACAGGGTTGGGCGCCTCCGCCTGCAGAGGGCGAGAAGCAGGGCCCACCTTGCCAGGATGCCATGCAAAGCGGAGCCTCAAACTGAACTTCGTAAGACACATGGTGGCATCACTGAAACTCAAACGAGACTAAACTGCATCTCTGAAGACTCCAACCAAAACAACAACAGCACCGCACCAAGACTCCAACTCTTGCCAGTCTGTTGGGCGCCTGCGCCCGCAGATGGAGAGAAGGTTGGTCCGCCTCGCTGCGACGCTGTGCAAGCTCTTCCTAAGCAGGCCCAACAATATTTAGTATGTCCTGGAAATGACAACACGAAATAACAAGACACATTTCGGGTGGGTGCCTCCGCCTGCTGAGGGCGCGAAGCAGGGCCCACCTTGCCAAGGATGCCATGTAAAGCGCTTCTATGAGCCGAATTCCCTCATAGTCATATGCAATATGTAGCAAAATCCGTCTATCTATAAATCTCTCTCTCTCTCTCTATATATATATATACATATGCTATGCTATACTTCGGGCTGAGAAAAACGCAGTCTTTAAGCAACATCATGGAACATCTGTAAGGCCAATGTAAGGCCAATGTATAGAGTATAGACCCTACGTAAGCACATAGGTGCATGGATCCTGTGGGTATCACCTGAAATCTGCATGACAATTCTGGCACCCTGGATCCGAAAGCTTGACGCACCTTTGCTGTGTCGGCAACATCCCCCACCGCGAGCGTCTGAAATATTGCCCTGTGAGGCCTAAACCTCAAGCTTCTTTACCCCAAGGGGTGGACTCCGGATAGACATGTTCGCATTAAGCATTGCGCTCACCTTCTTTGCACCAGCTGATCTTGCATTCTGTTATCGAATCTCTTGGCAAAAGCTGTGTCTGTCATTATCATCGCAGACCCAAGCACAGAAAGTTTGTCACATGCCTGGAGAACCTGGGACCGGCGAATCCAGCGCTCACGTCTGAGGGTTAGAATGCATGGGTAGTGGACGAGCAAATGCCGAACCTTCTCGGACGAGAACCACTCCAAGAGCAAGCAACCCTTCGACTTTAAATTTCTCTCAAGGCTACAGGCCAGGATTGTTGGGGAGCTAGAAATAATTCTAGCAACGTCACTCTTCGTCAGCCCTAGATCTCGCAGCCACTGGACCTTGGGCTTCAAGTTCTCTTCGATGCTGAGCCACAAAATCGCCGCAAAGCGAGCATTCACTTTGGCAACCTCGTCTTTCGTCAGGCCCACCTCCCGCAGCCACTGGACCGTGGGCTGCAAGTTCTCCTCGATGCTGAGTCCCAAAAACTGCGGATGTCGCACAATCACTTTGGCAATCGCAGCTTTCTTCAGGCCCAAATCTCGCAGCCACTGCACCGTGGGCTTCAAGTTCTGCTCGATGCTGTATCCCAACACTGGCGGAAATCGAGCAATCACTTTGGCAACCTTGTCTTTCGTCAGGCCCACCTCCCACAGCCACTGGACCGTGGGCTGCAAGTTCTCTTCGATGCTGAGTCCCAAGACTTGCGGACGACGTGGAACGACTTTGGCAACCTCGGCTTTCGTCAGGCCCAGATCTCGCAGCCACTGCGCCGTGGGCTTCAAGTTCTCTTCGATGCTGTATCCCGAGACTTGCGGAAATCCTGCAATGACTTTGGCAACCTCAACTTTCTTCAGGCCTAAATCTCGCAGCCACTGCACCGTGGGCTTCAAGTTCCCTTCGATGCTGAGTCCCAAAACTTGCGGATGTCGAGCAATCACTTTGGCAACCTCGGCCTTCGTCAGGCCCAAATCTCGCAGCCACTGGACCGTGGGCTTCAAATTCCCTTCGACGCTGTATCCCAATAACTGCGGATATCGAGCAATCACTTTGGCAACCTCGGCCTTCGTCAGGCCCAAATCTCGCAGCCACAGCACCGTGGGCTTCAAGTTCCCTTCGATGCTGAGTCCCAAAACTTGCGGATGTCGAGCGATCACTTTGGCAACCTCGGCCTTCGTCAGGCCCAAATCTCGCAGCCACTGGACCGTGGGCTTCAAATTCCCTTCGACGCTGTATCCCAATAACTGCGGATATCGAGCAATCACTTTGGCAACCTCGGCCTTCGTCAGGCCCAAATCTCGCAGCCACAGCACCGTGGGCTTCAAGTTCCCTTCGATGCTGAGTCCCAAAACTTGCGGATGTCGAGCGATCACTTTGGCAACCTCGGCCTTCGTCAGGCCCAAATCTCGCAGCCACTGGACCGTGGGCTTCAAATTCCCTTCGACGCTGTATCCCAATAACTGCGGATATCGAGCAATCACTTTGGCAACCTCGGCCTTCGTCAGGCCCAAATCTCGCAGCCACTGCACCGTGGGTTTCAAGTTCTCCTCTATGCTGTATCCCAAAACTTGCGGATGACGAGCAAGTACAGTCGCAACTTCAGACTTCTCCAGGCCCCAGACTTCCAGCTGTTGCATCATGGGCTTGAGTTTGTCGTCGATGTCGTGGCGTGCTAGAGCAGGGCATTTTACCACAAGCTCCTCCGCTTGGGAAATGGAAACACCTAGCTGCATCCTCAAAAAATTATGCAGCTGTGTTGGATCGATGTCACCCTCACGCTCTACAGCTACTTTCTCCGTGAACTCAACTGCTGCTTGGCGGGAGCTCCCACCAGGATCATCAACGAAGCTCTCCAGACTTGTTCTTCGAGCAGGATGCATTGATGTCCCCAGCTGTTTCAACAAGAACTCGGCCACTTGAAGCAGTGCTTGAACCAAAGATGAGTCGTCGCCAGGCCGCCACGAGTCCACAACAACTTCCCCCATCTCGCACGAAACCTCCAGTCCACGATCGGCATGGGCTATGCGCAACACATAGGATCCGTTAGGAGCCAAATCCAGCAGCGCCGTGTTCTTGCGACTATCAGCTGCAATGCCCGCGGGCTTCAGATGGCGATAGTAGCCGTCATACTCCACGAACAGCGCCGCCTCCTCTGATTCCAAAGCGCCATACACCGCCAGGTCGGGACTCAAAGTGTTGCTGCCCCACCCTTCACTTTTCTGCACAGGAAAATCCCGGAAGAGCTCTTCGATCGGCTCTGACGGCAGCAAAAGTACCGCCAGGTGCGACAACAGCTCAGCCTCTGCCAGGCTTCCCGGCCTCCGCCGCGGACGCCCGGCCTTCCACCATTTCGGAGGACTGCGGACTGCGCACAAACTGCAGGAAGACAGGACCAATGCCAGGAGGCCCGACAGAAGCCACCCGAAGGCTCTCCGTGGCCTTCTGCTCTCGACGGCCCTCATGCTCGAGCCTCAAACTGAAGTTCCTAAGTCACGTGCCGACTTTTGCTGAAACTAAACCAAACTCCATAGCATCTCCGAAGGCTTCAACCGAAGCAACAACGGCAAACAACCGACGCTCCAATGCTTGCCAGTCCGTTGGGCACCTCCGGCTGCAGTCGCCGAGGGAGAGAAGGCTGGTCCGCCTCGCGACGGTCCTGTGCAAGCTCTTCCCAAAGTGGCGCCTTCACCCGAAAATAGTAGAAGGACTTCCGGAGGATCACAGGGTCGCAGAGAAGATTGGAAGGCTGAGAAGTGTTCAGAAGGAGGCCCTGCAGCGCTTGTTGTTGCGCTGAGATGTAGAACGATCCGAGAGTGTGCTTGTGCATGGACGTGTACCCAATGTATCATCCAAACCAGGGAGTAGCCTAATAAGCTTCTGGATTTCAAAGTCAAGATAACCTTCAGAAGCCCTTGATGCCTGAGACTTGCAGCAGGCTTTGAGGCCTTCGAGATTGAGAAGGTTCAACGTACATGTACTATTCAAAAGGACGGAAGCTCACTGAGATACATGTTATTTCAATTTCTGAGCTTTCCAGCTTTGGTTCGTTTCATCGTTGGGACGGTTGGGATGTCTAAGGCGCCTGTCTACTGCGGGTTCGCCACTTTTAACCTGCTGCATGATCTTGGAATCTGTCCTCGTATATCTCTTGGCAAAATCCGCGTCTGTCATTTTCATCGCAGACACGAACGCAGAAAGCTTGCCGCATGCTTGGAGAAGCTGGTGCCGGCGAACCCAGCGCTCGCGCTTGAGGCACACGATGCACGGATGGTGGACGAGCAAATGGCGAATCTTCTCAGACGAGAACCACTCCAAAAGCAAGCGCCCCTTCGGCTTCAAGTTCGCTTCGATACTGAGCCACAAAATCGGTGCAAAGCGAGCAATCACTTTAGCAACCTCGTTTTGCTTCAGGCCTAAATCTCGCAGAAACTGCACCGTCGGTTTCAAATTCCCTTCGACGCTGTATCCCAACAACTGCGGATGTCGAGCAATCACCCTGGCAACCTCGGCTTTCGTCAGGCCCAAATCTCGCAGCCACTGTACTGTGGGCTTCAAGTTCTCTTCGATGCTGAGTCCCAAGACTTGCGGACGACGTGGAACGACTTTGGCAACCTCGGCTTTCGTCAGGCCCAGATCTCGCAGCCACTGCGCCGTGGGCTTCAAGTTCTCTTCGATGCTGTATCCCGAGACTTGCGGAAATCCTGCAATGACTTTGGCAACCTCAACTTTCTTCAGGCCTAAATCTCGCAGCCACTGGACCGTGGGCTTCAAGTTCTCTTCGATGCTAAGTCCCAAAACTTGCGGAAACCGACCAGCCACTTTGGCAACCTCGACTTCCGTAATGCCCAAATCTCGCAGCCACTGCACCGTAGGCTTCAAGTTCTCCTCGATGCTGAGTCCCAAATTTTGTGGAGATCGGACAATCACATTGGTAACCTCGACTTTCTTGAGGCCCAAATCTCGCAGCCAATGGACCGTGGGCTTCAACTTCTCTTCGATGCTGTATCCCAACACTTGGGGATATCGAGCAAGCACCTTCGCAACTTGAGCCTTCTTCAGGCCCCAGACTTCCAGTTGTTGCATCATGGGCTTGAGTTTTTTGTCGATGTCGCGGCGTGCCAGAGCAGGGCATTTCCCTGCAAGTTCCTCCGCTTCGGAAATGGACACGTCTAGCTGCATCTGCAGAAATTCAAGCAGACGTGTTGGGTCGAAGTCACAGTCGCGCTGCGCAGCTACTGTCTCCGTGAACTCAACTGCTGCTTGGCGGGAGCTCCCACCAGGATCATCAACAAAGTTCTGCAGACTTGCTCTTCGATCGGGATGCATTACTACTCCCAGCTCCTTCAACAAGAACTCCGCAACGTGAAGCAGTGCTTGAACCAAAGATGAGTCGTCGCCAGGCCGCCACGAGTCCACAACAACTTCCCCCATCTCGCACGAAAGCTCCAGTCCACGATCGGCATGGGCTATGCGCAACACGTAGGATCCGTTAGGAGCCAAATCCAGCAGTGCCGTGTTCTTGCGACTATCAGCTGCAATGCCCGTGGGCTTCTGATGGCGATAGAAGCCGTCATACTCCAAGAACAGAGCCGCCTCCTCTGATTCCAAAGCACCATACAGCGCCATGTCGGGACTCAAAGTGTTGCTGCCCCACCCCTCACTTTTCTGTGCAGGAAAGTCCCGGAAGAGCTCTGCGATCGGCTCCTCCGGCAACAAAAGCACCGCCAGGTGCGACAGCAGCTCAGCCTCTGCCAGGCTTCCCGGCCTCCGCCGCGGACGCCCGGCCTTCCACCAGTCCGGAGGACTCCGCACCAGACATGAACCACAGGAGAGCAAGGCAAGAGAACCCCATAGAAGGCATCCGTAGTCTCTCCTCGACTTTCGAGGCTTTCGTTCCGTCATAGGTCGGATTAGGCCTCATCCTGATGTGCGGATGCATGAGCCTGAAATCGTGCAGCAGGAGCACGGCACCTGTGGCTAGAATGATGCACAAGAGCTGCAGACAAGTACAACATACTTCCAGACTCGAGATAAACCTGATCCGAGGCCACTTCCCACGATGAAACCTCGCAGTGCAAACACCTGCACCTATGCTACGCAGAATCCGACTCCCGTCCCAAAATTTTGCAACCACTTCGCGAACTTTGCGATCCTTCCATGACATGTCAGTTCTGGCCTGCACCCGCGGATGGAGAGAAGGATAGCCCGCCTGCTGTAGCAGCTCATATATTCAACTGTCCCAAAGGCTCCAAGTGTGTGCTTGGACAATACTTGGTTTATTTTGTCCAGGGAAGCACCTGTGTCTATTCACTCACTTGGTTTTTGCTGATCTACCGAAGAAACCTAGCAAAAAAGGCTGCATAAAGCAAAGCGGTCGCTGTGAAAAAACGGTTTGTCAAGATAATATCAGCTCCAGGATCCTGATCAGAGCTCGCAATCGAAAGAATCTCCCAAGTTTGAGCGGGTTCGTCAGAGAGAAGATGGAAACAATCGAGGGTTTCTATCCAATTACCGCCGCCGATCCGCAAAATATGGAAAGTCAAAACACCAGTGTTTTATGATTTCGCTGCTGAGCTTTCGGTACATATAACCGAAACTTCGGCAGCGACATGTAATATTAAATATGCGATAATATAAGATTCCTGCATGCGTACTGTGTGTATGTATCTAGGTATGTGCACAGCCCCAAATAACTTCAAAGCTTTGCTTTCTGATCAGGCTTCGACTGCTGAATGGTGCTTTCGCATGAGTGGGTGCGATGCAGCTGCAACTTGCGATGGTTGCCGCTGCAACTTGTGATCAGGGGCAGTTGTTGCAAAGAAGGTTCGATTCGAGATTCATGTTCAGCCCGTACGGTTGGCTTGTCTTCGAAACCAAGATGTAATTAAAATCATTCAAAGCTGCTCGTACTATCGTGTGGCATTCCATATGTTCGGAATTCATCAGAGTTCGTCTAGCAAATAAATTATATAATCTGCCCGAATAATTAAGCTGCATGTTTTTCTCATGAGCCATGCCTGGCCTCTTGGGTGTCATCCACCACGTGAAATTCAAGAAGAAGCAAGGTGCCTCCCACCCCTAGCCTGCTGCTGTCAGCTGTGCTGCAATTTGAATGCTTTGTGTACATGCGAATGCACGTGTGTACCTGTTGCTGTGCTCGAACAAAGGTTCTCCGAACGAGTGTTCTGGACAGCACGGTAGGTCGCTATAATTCCAGGCTTCGTGAGCCAGTGTTCTGGACTAGGCCTCGAGCTGCATGCAAGGGTCAGGGTTTTGCCCAACATGTCTGTGTAAAAGTTCTGCAGCAGCCTGTAGCTAGCGACATGTCGAAGACCGACCGCCAATCGGCGGAAAATGGCAAGCCGGCGAAGTTCCGAGCGATTGCCTCGGAACGGATGTGGAATGGGGTCCGGGAGTCCGGTGTGCAGGTTTTGCAGCCAATACGGTTTTTCGTGACGGATCCTTTGCTGAATTGCTATTTCCGTGCTTCATTTGCGGTGAGGGTGTAGCTTGCGAAATTTCGCTCATAAATGTGCAAGGATACTGCGATGAAGATCGTGAACGTGCTGCGGCCGGAAATCGAAAAACGATTGGATGCACTCCGAGAAAGCGATGAGTCTTAGCTCGCGAGTAGATATGTTTGTACTGCTGGTGCGGCTGCCAAATGCTCTCAGGACCATCCGCTACTGACTGTGTACGAGGTGAAACTTGCGGAATGCGACCTCGTTGACCCGCACAATTACGAAATCATGAAACGGTACGTCGTTTTTCTGCTGAAAGGCATTAAGATCCCGCACCCGGACCTGATATCGTGTAAAGAGCACAGAGCCGGGGCCTCACATCATGAGCAGTTCATTTGAATTAGTTGCTCTGTTTCCTCGCTCGCATGTTCTACTTAGGCAGCATGCCTTTATGCTGCCTGTGCTTACGGCATGTGGACCCATGGGTTTATCAAGACCAGAGCCAGCCGGCGAAAACTCAAGGTTGGGGGGCAATTGCATGCAGTACATGTATCGTATTACTTGATGTTCCTGCAGGAATGGGCCGACGTCCATGGGACACGGCTCAAATGGCTAGCGGCATATCTGTGCGCCATTATACACCGGACGCCGTATGCCCGGACCGTGTGCCCACCGCACATGCATGTATATAGCTGCTAGCAAACATCACATATGCATGCATGCATGTTCTATTCTCTGCTGCAGGACCCCGGAAATCACCGTATTGAAAACAATGTATTTCCGTGTGAACGGACAATGTGTTCCGGCGCGGAGAGCGAGTGCGAGCTCGATTGGCAGTTCTGAGGCATGGCACCGTCTATGATCTATTGCGATAGGGCGGAGCTCGATCATCAGTGCAGCTGATCACTTGCGGCAGGCTACAGGCGATGGCGATATCGGTAATGTGGAGGCCCAGAGCTCGAGTCATCAAATGAGCACTCTAAATTGTAGTGAACCCAACATTCGAAGGAACTGGGCGAGGACGACGACGTGCTCGAAATTGATAGTGCAGTGGGTGAAGATGAAGAGGCTATGTGCAATTATTTACGACTTTAAATTTAGCCGAATATACATATATAGCTCTTTTCGCGGCAGGCCTGCGAAATCGATGACGTTGTGGCAATGGAGGCCCTTCCAGGGTTCCCTGTCCTTGCTACCTAATTAAAGGTTTCGGCTTTAGGATTAGGGGTTTGGGGTTTAGGGTTTGATTAGGGCTTCGGGTTTAGGGCTTCAAGTCTAGTCTATAGGACTCTAGGCCTAGGGTCACCCGTCTTCGGTGGGTTTAGGTTTTCGGGCTATCAGCTGGTTTTCGGACTCGCTGGCTCGCAGGCTCCATAAGTTTCAACACATATTGTTTTTGAACGATTGTTGGCAGGTGGATGGCGCCACATCGGTGGCAGCCGGTGCCCCCGAAGCTGGAGCAGCTGTGGATTTGGAGGCATTCGATTATAATTGTTCAACCTGGTACCCATCCCCCGCCTGTCCGAGTCGATGGCATATTGCTTGGCCCGTGAATCTAGATCTGGTTCGGCTGTGCATACAAATCCCACTTTCAACGAATCAACTTCCTCTCAGGTTCCTAGTACATCGATGGAAGCTGGTGCCGCCGAAGCTGGAGCAGCTTTGGATGTGGAGGCATCCCGCGATTCCCCAACCCCTGTCTCCGGGTGTAGCATGCTGTAAAATTAATCGATCTACAGTTTTATATATACTCGATTGTTGGCAAGCCTTCTCGGCCCGCGAATCTGGATCAGCTGTACTCAAAACTCCCGATCCTATATGTACTAGCAATACCGATTGGTTGCAGGTTCCTGCCAAATCGGTGGCAGCTGAAGCTTTGGATGGAGAGGCACTCGTCTAATTCCTCCCTGTCCCTGTAATCCCAAGGCCCACCGCTGCCTTTTAAATCCTTTTCGCAGGTCATTCAGCTCGAGGACTCGCCGATCGCTGATGGTCAAGCGGCTTGTCACGACGGTTCTAGATCCGGTAACTGAACTGGCAGCCCCTAGCGCCGGAACCCCTGGGAAATCTTGCATTGTATAAGACATTACATCCGGGCTTCATACTTGGGATTCAATTCATTAGCTAATGCTTGAGCCCAGGGTTGTTTTTGCACTAAGAGGCATTGTAGTTTTCAACTTATAACTAATGGGTCAGGTCAACTCCTACATACAATAGCCTTACGAAACCTTGTTCGTGTTTGGCTGGGCTTATGATGGGTCAAAACGTATGAGTACACCGTAGTGGACCCCAGAGCCCATGTATACAGCAGTACACCCTAGACTGAAAAAGCACCAACTGAACTCTTCGAGGAAGCGGCTAAAACAGCTATGATTCATTATTAGAGGAACCCGTCACTTGCAAATATGGACCCTGTGAATAACCCTTACCCAAATCAAAACCTCCAACCCCCTCTATATCCTAAGCCAGAGACCTCTAGTAGCTAGGCCCCAAGCCCAAGCCCGTACATGAATTTGTTCTAGCCTCACCAGTCTACTATATAACCCAACGACAGTCGCATCAGGCCGCCGACGTGGATGGCTCACTACGACAGGCCAGTCTATTATAATTCTCGCGAGGATCGGAGAAGTGTGACAAAGGATGACTGATAATAACATGAATCCAGGAGCCGGTTCCAGTACTGCTGCCAAGAAGTTTGCATGGCGAGTTCGCTCCTTGCTACGTATAGTTCTATTCTCGCAGCCACTAGCATAGGACCCCTAAGACCGCTAAGCACCAATGCACATCCCAGGCTTCCGCGACGACAGATGAGACGATGCCCTCAGATGGTGATGTCGCTGTACCTTGGCATTAATTAGCCGGTTTTCGGAGTCGTGTATGACAATCGGCTAGCCACTGTACAATCGACTCAGGCTACGGTTCCGGTGTGTGTGGAGTCTTGCAAGCGAAGCTCCAATGGAGCCTTCAAGGTGCATCTTTAACAATATGTTCATCATGATCGCAATTCGAGCATAGTCAGCTTGTGCATGTGCTCTCATGATCAAGATCTAGAGGACCGGCAGCCACTTCTACCGAAGGGCAACCTGCCCTTCCATTTCGAGGTTGCTATGAGCCTGGAGGTTTCATCGGGGGACATTCGGCAAGAGCAAGCTCAAGTGAGATCACAAATTCGTGAGGACATTACCGGGGGGTTACACACGTGCGACATCGAGTTGAGTTTCGTCTTTATAAGAGTAGCCTTGAATGCCTTCTTTATTTCCAGGAGCTAGCACTGAAAAAGTTGACGGCGAAGAATGCCAAGAAGCGACACGGAGAATTTGAGCTCGATGATGGCAAGGCCAGTAAGCGAGCCAGGGATGATCAGCAAGCGGCCGGTGCCGCACCTTTGCTTAGCATTTGTTCTAGGTTGCATGCTGAGATATATATCCGGCGGCTGTCGAA